TGGGCCTAGCACGTGGCTTCTGGAAGCATCTGCCCTTAGCCCTAATCCCTTTAGCCTACTCCCTTAGTAACGCCCAAGCACGCCCCATCTCAACTATACAGCACCTACAAACGAAACATAACCCCAACCCCTAAAACCTACACCAGACATAACTCCACATATAACCACTGCCTACTTGAAGGGTCAGGGCGACTTAGTAAGTAGGTTAGTAAACCATAAACCATGTAGTAACCCTAGCTATCCCCATATTTAACGCACTTACTAAGTCACCCTGACCCTAAAACCCTATAAACCCTAAATAACACAGTAGCTTCCATTTCTTTTCCCTTAACCCACTTACTAAGTCCCCCTGACCCTAGATGAGCAGTGCTTTTTTGGGTGGCTGAGCCTAGAAGATTCTATTCCTTATATAAAATACTATACCCCAACAGGAGGATATTATCTTACTCTATAATGGGTACCATAGTATCCCCAAATAAAATACTACTCAGATGCTCTTAGACGAGGCACAGCTGGCGAAGTCCGAAGCGCCATGCCCGCAGCATCCGCTCTGAGACAAGCCTGGGCGGTCACCCAAACAAGATTTTTGCGGATTTAGGGGTTTAGGATTTAGCGGCTTTGTAGGGGTTATATTATGGGATATATTGGGTTATGTTGGGGATATATTGGGATAAGGGGATCTTATTATAATATACCAAAAACCGTATTCTATCTACTTAAGGCGGACTATAGGATTTAGGGGGCTGGCCGTAGCAGACTTATTGGTGCTTAAGTAAGGGGGGGGATCACCGTTCCCACGGGAAGGAGGGTATGGTTTGGCCGAACCCCCGCATTACGACCAAGGCCTTGTATGCACACTTCAGGGGTGTCTTCGTGGCGGCTGAACTAAGCTTCTATTCTGCTTATAGAGTAGTATACCCAAAAGGAGGCACAATCTTACTCTGCCTTGGAGACTAGAGTATGCCAATGATCAAATATTGCTCACTTGCCCTGTGCAGTGCAGGCGGCGTCTGCGATGCCCACAGAAGCGACTTGTTCTTGCGGGCCTGGTGGCCGCAAAAGACTCCGAATGTGACATAAGGGGTATATAGGCATCGGGGCTATATAGAGCTGATATAGACGCATTACTCCAATAATGACGGAGAAGGCAATGATTCTGACACGTTGTATGCAGCTTTGATGTATCGCTAACTATTTCCAGCACTGCTGCGACTGTCGCTTCCGTACAGACTATGCAGGCTTATGGTAGTTTCCAAAGAAAGGAAGACCCCAATATAGTTCTGATTTTCTAAGGCCCCGAAAAAGGAAGCCCGCAGTGTTGGAAACCCTGCAACCCCTATAAACCACCATAGAATCCAAGTTTTCGTTTGATTTTCCATGTTCTTTTCCATTTGAATCTCCACTGTTGGGATACTATCCCCAGGTCGGGGTGCCCCTCGTTTTAAGTCATGACCCAAAGACCCTTCAACCCTAAACGGGAAACCCTAAATCCCAAATCCTATACTGTAATCCCCTCTTATAACGTGTTGTCCTAACTGAAAGACCGGCCTGCGCCAACCATGCTGCGAAAGCATGAGCAGCGCATTTAGACGCGGCCTTGAAGCCAGTCAGCGGTTTAGGATCTAGAGTGTAAGGGTTTCGGGTCAGGGATTTAGGGTGCAGAGTTTAGGGTCTAAGGGTTTAGGGTCCGGGGAACGCATGGGTGGAAGCATGCTGGAAGATGTTCCGGAGTGGTCCTGCAACATGAAGAATTAACTGGAACAGAAAAAGGAAGGTTTTGAATATATGGAAAGTTGTCAAGATTATGGTTCCTTTTTAGGTCCCCAGCATAACAAGGATCCTGATAGTTGGAGAGCCGAAAAAGACCACAATTTTCACCACCCCCCATGTAAGAGAGGCTACGAGCATCATGAGACTTCATGAAAGCTTTTGATACCCTGTAGAGTCTATCTGGTCCTGCCACCAACTCGCACTGAACAATCACACCCAAATGCTTTTTGGTTCAAGAGCATGGAGCATACGTATCTTCGCTGCAACCCGTAATTCAGCATTCAGGGATTCACAACATGTCTGAATGCACCCTCCGATCTCAATTTCTTGGCAATAGTTATTCTCATTCCCTGCAACTCCCAAGAATTACCGACGAGTGGTTCGGGGGATTGAAACCAGCTGAGTTGCAAAGAACGCCCGACCTCAGCCACACAATTGCAGCTTCTGCGACAAGTGCTGCAAGAGTGATACCGGATCTAGACGGCTGATATGCCTCATGACTAGGGTCATGAGGGTTGTTGCTACTGCAACTACCAAAGCTAATTACGACTCTCCTCTTACACCACCAGCACAAGCACCAAAGCTACAAGTAGTTGCAGCAGTGCTACAAGTCCTACTACTGCCTGCGTGCAAGTTTGCGCAGCAGCCAAGAAAACTTGGAATTGCGCCATGCTCGCTAGGACAACACACCCAAGCAAGAAAAGCTTTGTGTGCTCTGATCTGCCCAGGGATTATGTGGTATTTGGTGGTCGTCATGGATCATAATGGAGCATCAAACGGAAACGAACATGCAAACATGAAATGGAAACTTCCCGCCTAACCAAGAGCCGCAACACAACAAACCCTACGTCCCAACAAACAACTCTTGTTGTCACAGCTGCACCTGTCATCGATATACATACCATCAACAGAAGTCGTACCATTATTAATGTTGCTGAAACTTTAAGTTTCTGCGGCACACCGCCTTTACAACTAAGATGGTTTGTGCTGTCATGCTCTCCTCAGGAAGCTTTCCTTTGTACCCTGAGGGTTTGCACCCTTGGGTTCGCGTCTCTAAACCATGGAATACGGCCCTTAACGAGGCTCTGTGGGACCCCAAACCTAAGGTTACAAACATGAAGGGTACAAACTTAAAGTCTTTGTTCATCGGAGGCGTGCTATAGCTAAGGGCCTCCACGCCCTTAAACCGTGGGCCCTCAATACGGATGTTTTTTAACAAAAAGGCCGTGGCCTCTCAATCCTCGCATTTGGTGAAACCTCAAACCCTCTATTCCACCACGATGTAAGCATACCCCTGCCATCATCCCTCAATAGTAGTTCTGGTCACTCACCGTATCCCTCCATTGTCTTGCGCTCTGGTCCCTCAAAGCACCCTAAAGCTTTATCCCTGACCCTGAAAACTTGAAACCCAAAGCTGAATACCGAAATCCCGCAGCTTCAACCTTTCAACCCTGAACGCAAACCCCCAAATCCCCAAGTCCTGAGTTTAGGGTTCAAGGGGTCCTGAGCCCCAAGCCAAAAACCCCCAAATCCAGCACCCACACCCTCAAGGTTCAAACCCTAACCCCTGATTTCAAAACCCTCCCCACAGCAGCCCACGCGGTTTATGGTTTAGGGTGTAGGGTCAACATGATCCTCAATTAAATTGGATTTCCTACCTTGAACCCCAACCTGTCAGTAGCTGCCAGGCGCCATTTTCCCCCTACTAACCACCAGCAAGCTCAACCCTGAACATCCCTAATGATCCCGCAGCTTCGATCTCATTTTCTATTTGCTTGTTCAGGTGGTCTTCCATTCCCTACTAATTTTCTCCCCATTAAAAACAAACCCTGCCACCCTTCCTCTGATAACAATTCCCCCAAGTATATAATGGTACTATATTGGGTGTATTTATAAAAGGGGATAATGCTTTTCTGGGGGTAGCGGAGGGATTATATAGCGACCTTCACCCGAGCCTAAACCCTAAACCCTGAACTGAGCCCTGAACACTAAACCCTAAACCCTGAAGAACACTAAACCCCAAACCCTGACCCTAAACCCTGAACCCTAAGCCCCGAACCCTAAACCCTGAAACCCAAACCTTGAACCCTAAACCCTGAAACCTTAACCCTAAATCCCATATAAACTTACCATTCCTTAGGGTACCCTAATTTCCTTAATCTTAAAAGTTAATCAAACCCCCCAAGCCCTAAACCCTAAACCCTAAACCCTAAACCCTAAGCCTTGAACCGTGTAAACCCTAAACCCTTCACCCCCTAAGCCATCTGCTGCCAAAACGGCCTTGGGCCGCCCAGGCACCCAGGCGCCTCCGCCGCCGCTGCGCCGCCACGGCCACCGCAAGATCAGCGGCCCTTGCCTCCCATTGCACAAGGGATTATGTTGGTTTAAGGTTTAGGATCTAGGGTTTAGGATTTAGGGTTGAGGGTTTAGGGTTTAGGATTTAGGGTTTAGGATTTAGGGTTTAGGGTTGAGGATTTAGGGCTTAGGGTTGACGGCTTAGGGCTTAGGATTTAGGGTTTACAATCTAGGGCCTATCACTCTAGGGGCCCAAAGAAGGGATTTTATTGGGTGTCGGCAGAATGTACGGGTTACATAAGATTGGTAAGGATTTAGGCTTCTATTTCGCAGAATCCAACTTTTCTAGTGCTTAAGGGGTGTGAATATTGGGACTCATATATATGGGAATCGCGTAAGGATCCACTCCGGCACTCTTCCCTAAGCACCAGGAAACTTTCCGCGGAATCCTGGTCTAGATGGACATACTATGAAACAGTAGACTTATCTACAACAGTAGCTGTGGGTCATTACTACCTAGATCCTAGGTAGCTTAGGGCTTAGGTCATAAGGTTTGAAATAGCATTGGGCCATATTGGGCCCCCCTTTTGGGAAGGCTTCAATAAGGATTGGTAGGCGTTTGGCGAAGCATGAGTGTTGTTAGAAGCTAGGTTAGAACAATGGGTGGCAAAGATATTCACCGCAATAACAACACAGTAAAAAAAACGTGAACACAGCCAACGTGGCTAACTTTCCTCTCCAATGATAACGGCAGCAGCCATATCAGTCCATCACAAATGGACCATAAGTTCTCTGGAGCGCGTACCAGCAGCACTACTGATCGTGGTAAGTCTATGTATGATATTCCGAACTTGCTGGGCTAGAGGGCTTTGGATGGGCTGTGCGGATGGCAGGTAGCTGATAGCAAAGAATCCAAGCTGCCCGGCTTAGCCCGCCTGCACTGCACGTGCCTGCGCCACCCATGCGGCATAGGCCCTGAAAAACCTGGGTGGCCGTTGAAGAACTTAAACCACTTTACTTTACCAATATAAGGAAAACATGTTGATTATTTACTACATACTCAGACTGTAGTAACTGAAAGTAGTTTCCTAAACAACATCCCAGAAGCTGGCCGACCGTCCTCGCGTCGACCACGCTGCGGCGCTGCTTTGCACCGCGGCTGGCCTGGCAAGGAACTTCCGGCGCGGGGCAAAGTAAGAGCCTATGTGTTACTTAGGCTTAGGTGTCCGGCATCTAGGTAGTGGTGGTAGCAGTAGTAGCAGTAGCGATAGTAGTACTAGCATAACCCAATATCATGCCAAAATATATATAGAGTTACTTAGGTGTCCAGCCTCTAGGGATGTCTCAGGGTGTAACCTTTTAGTATTTATTGGGTTTCGTACTACCCAGAAATGGTGAAGGTTACTTGCTGGATGGGTGGGATCCTCTCGACTCATGATGTCAACCTGCAAATTTGTAAGGTCCCAAGTTCTCGCATACGAGCTCAAATTGCAATCCAGAACAACACCTACAGGTTGGGACCGCCAGGACTCAAACACGATGCAAAAAGTGGGCCACGCCAACTTACAAATACCCCATGAAGCAGCTCAAGTGCAAGCCAGCAACAACCTGGAAAGCACTGAAAGCTCCTATATGATTTCACTGCTTTCCTGGAGCAAGCTGCACAGGAAAACTCCCTAAACCCTCAAGCCTAAATAGTAGTTTCCATTGCTTATTTTCCTTTATCCCTATGTGACTCCAGTATAACCCCTATATAACCCTAAACCCCAAAGTTGTTGGCGCAGGCCTGGACTGCACGAAAACCCGTCAGACATGCAGCCTTGACTGCCAGTTTACTTGCTTGGATTTCCAATCCCTCCCTCTATTACTTAACCCCCCACCCCCTATTACTGAATAGGTCGCAACACAATACCATTACATATGTGGCAACTATTGCTATAATGAGGGGGGCTAGGGAGGTCAAATATGAGGGGTCCAAAATAACCCCAATACACTATAGTAGCTTCCATTTTCTTTTCCATTATCCCTACCAAAACCCAATATGACCCCCATATAACCCCAATATATCCAATATATCCCCAATATAGCCTCTATATACCCCTATAGGGCCCTTATTGTGATTGTCCAGCTGTCAGGTCAG